GTGCACGCTAGGATCCAAGTCAGGACTTTCAGCCACGACATATCTTACCTTGTAGGGCTATGGGCTTCAGTTTTGCGTGCTCTCATCGTACCTCTGGACCACCTGCTTTGCCTTTCACTTGTACCAAATCCTCGTCAAAGCCAACAAGACGCCCGAGGTATTGCGATATCTTCTTCGACGAGCGTTCGCGCCACGCTGCATATGACTAGATGTACGAGTGGCGCTACGTGCTGCTGGCATGGGGGGCCCCGCTCCTCGTACGACAGTCTTTCCATCGTCTTTTTTTCTGACAAATATTGTCTTGTAGATTGTCCTCATGTTTGGGATCCAGCAACTCTGTGGGTTTGAACTCATCGGGTTTGGTGGACTGCCGTGGTACTTGTCCATTCATTTCCAGTTGTATTGGAACATCATCCACACGGTTTAGGTGCTGGGTTCGCTCGTGGAGCGACGACCAGTGGGTCCTCGATGGCTACGTGCTTCAAATGCTCTTCTTCTACGGCCCTCTCACCGTCGCGTTGGCGGTCAACACAGCGCTCTTCCTCACGGTTGCTACCAAGCTGGTGCGAGGCGAGAGACGACGACAAGTGGTGACGCCGCTATAGGGGCGGTCGACCGTCATGTCAACGGGCATGGAAGACAAGATTCGCCGGCGCATGATGGCCTACATTGGGGTTCGCATCGGCGCGCAGTCGGATGTTCATTCATATTGGCGCTAGATCTTCGTCCTCACGTGTGCCTGGGGCGGCCTTGGACGGACGTTCCAGGTACGCTGACGAGAACCATCCGTTTTGTCAACAAGGTGTAGGTGATCTCGCCCCGCCACGAAATCAGCCCCGTCTTCTTGGCGCTGACTGCGTTCTTTGCCCCGCTGCAGGTGCTCAGTAGTACAGTGGATGTTGTAGTCATGTCAACACGTCGCGTAGGGGGCGCTCAACTGCGTCACGTACGGCCTCAACAAGCTGGTATTACTCTATCCTGCACACTCGAGCAGAAAGTACCACCTCTGTGTGATTCTAGCTGCGCGAACGCTTCATGTCGGCCATTCGGCGGTGGTCGGCGCTCCTCGTAGCCCCCTCCAGTTTATAATTCGTACTGTTACTTAGGCGACAACGCAGCGGGGCCAAAGGTGCTGCTGGTCTGCCCGAGAAGCGCACGCTGGTTCACAGTCCCAAGCGCGTCCGAAGAACGTGATCTGTCGTAGCTGATGGGGATCGGCGTCCAGAATGCGTCGTTTCTGTGATTGTTTGTGTCCTCGTCGTGTTGAATGCACTGGCGATATCAGCGCACGGAGCTTGTTGTGCTTTGTCAATGAAGTTTGTTCTAGTTGTGGACTTCGAGTCGTCGCTGGTCTCTCCGAGCAGCCTGTACTGTACACTCGAAAAGTAGATGGATGGTCTATGACCTCATCCTCGCGACGCGACGAGTGCAGCTGCACCAAGGGCCTTTCGCTTCAACGGTGCGGCGCAAGCATGCTGGTTGTTGAGCCGTT